CAGGTGGATCTCTGAGTTCCAGGCTAGCCTAGTCTACAAAGCAAGTTCCAGGCCCACCAGAGCTATAGTCAGTCCCAGTTTTTTTTTTTTTTTTTTTAAAGTCTTAGCTGGGCAGTGGTGGCGCACACCTTTAATCCCAGCACTCGGGGAGGCAGAAGCAGGCAGGTCTCTGAGTTCGCGCTAGCCTGGTCTACAGAGCAAGTTCCAGTATAGCCAGGGCTGTTACACAGAGAAACTCTGTTTCAGAACCACCACCCTCTCTCCCCAAAAAAAGTCTTAAGCAAAGACAAGGAAGTAAGGGAGAGAAGTCTGTGACAGCTGGAACTGGAGCTGTGGCCAGTGCAAAGGTTCTGAGGCTGAAATGTCAGTTTGTGACCCTGTGCCTGCAGGGCATGGTCAAGTAGGACTGAGAGGAGACCAGAGCAGGAGGTCACGGGTCAGGGCTAGAGGGAAGCTTGGGCTTTCACACAGTGAAGAGGAAAATGTGGGTGAGTGGGCTCTGGGTGAAGAGGGGGTGCCATCAACTGAGGAGTGCCAGGCACCTCCGAGTGCTGGGGCACAGGGGCTGACTGACCACATGACTGTCCTGCCTAGATCCCGCTGAGGCCCTGCAGCTACCAATGGATTATGTCCAGCGGGTGAAACGGACCCACTCCCAGGGCGGCTATGGCTCACAGGGGTGAGGCAGATGCAGGGTTCAGGCTGGGGAGGGGCAGGAGGCTGGGGTCAAGGACCACAGGGCAGACTTGTTGCTTTTTCTTTTGAAGTTACAAGTATACCTGGAAGCTAGAAGAGGCCCGGAAAAACCTGCTTCGTACACACACCACATCAGCCAGTGCCCGCATCCTCTACAGCTTAGCCCAGAAGGTACAACTTGGCCTGGGCAGGGGGCGTGGTTGGTACTGTCCTATAGATCTTCTGACCTGTGCCAGGGCCAGGCCTGACCTGCTTGTCACCTCTCCTCCCCAGAAGCCCTTCACACCAGCTAAGTACTTCTCCATTGATCGTGTGTTCCGGAATGAGACACTGGACGCCACACACCTGGCTGAGTTCCACCAGATTGAGGGTGTGATAGCTGACCATGGGCTCACCCTGGGCCATCTCATGGGTGTGCTGAGGGAGTTCTTCTCTAAGTTGGGTGAGCAGGCAAGCCACTCCAGGCAGGCAGTATTGGGGTCCCTGAGAGAGGGGCCTAAGGTCATCAGCTTGCCTTGCCTAACCCCTACAGGAATCACCCAGTTGCGCTTCAAACCAGCCTACAACCCCTACACAGAGCCCAGCATGGAAGTGTTCAGCTACCACCAAGGTCAGGGATGGGAAACTGGATACAGAGGGATGTCTGAGGGGCCTCACATTTGGCCTGGGTAACCCTCTCTGCTAAGCTCCTACCCCATCTTCCAATTCTCTATGGGCAGTATCACCCACATGCATGCTCTAGCCTCCCCTTTGTCCCCACAGGTCTAAAGAAGTGGGTAGAAGTCGGCAACTCTGGGGTCTTCCGCCCTGAGATGCTCCTGCCCATGGGACTCCCTGAGAATGTGTCTGTTATTGCTTGGGGTCTCTCCCTGGAGCGGTGAGTGCCCAGGCCAGAACTTGGGATAACTCTATCATTCATTTGTTCATGCCTCTTGACAATTCTTTAGTAAGAATGCCCAGTCTTGTGCCTGGCCCTGAGCTGTGAACAGGATAGCGTATTTCCCCAATACCATGCAGCCTGATCCTAGCGGAGAAGGAAGGACAACTAACATGGCCACTAAGGAAATTCGAAGGCCGGAACGTTGATGGGCAGGAAGTGCTGTAGAGAGGGTAGAGCAGGACTTAGGAGACTAGGTGATCAGGAAGAAGGCAGTGACGTTTTCTACCTGGGTGTACCAGGCACAAGGCCCAGCCAGTGCAAAGTCTCTGAGGCTAGACTAAGCATGGGGTGTGCGAACAGAAGTGGGAATGGGAGGTAAGACGGGCTTGGAAGTAACTGGGCCGATAGTACAACATCTTGTTCACCATGGGGAAGACTTGAGCATTCATTCTGAAAAAGATGGGTGCCTCTGAGAAGCAAAAGATAGCCTAATCTGACTTAGTGTTAAATTCTGTTCCTTCTCTCAGGCCAACAATGATCAAATATGGCATCAATAACATCCGAGAGCTGGTGGGCCACAGGGTGAACCTGCAGATGGTATATGACAGCCCTGTGTGCCGCCTGGACATTGAGCCCAGGTCTCTACAGACACAGGCCGTATAATACAGGTTGCCCCAGAGAGCCCTGTGCTGTCCCTATGCATCCCTCAGCGGTGACCTCTAACATTTATGAGGCCTCTGTGAGGCCAGTGCACTCCCTCTGCCTCACCCACCCAGGGGCAGGGTCCTGAGTACAGGAAGTAGGTTTCTTGTGCTCGTCTCTAGTGGTGCATGTAGTATGCCTCTAAGGGTGGGTTAGGGCCCTGCGGGTCGGCTCTTGTCTAATAAAGTGGGCACTTCCCTCATGTGGTGCCTTTCCTTATGATCCTTCCTTGTTGTTCATTTCATAGGTGATTTGTGGGCCTTCCCTCACTCCCAGTTCCATGTAGTGCTCCCCTTCCATTGGAGGAAACTGGGCGGTGGTTCCTGAGTGTGCTTTTTGGGGGGGGGGGGGTCAAGGCTTCAGATCCTCCATGGTCTGGGATCCTAGGAGGTCCCAGGCAGCCCATGCCAGTCCGTGGCTCCACTCAACATTTATTTTTAATGGATGTGTGTCTATCTGTTCAAGTACATGTGGAAGACAATCCTGGGTGTCATCCTTAGGAACACTGTCCATATCCTTTGAGATGGAACTCACCAGTTTGGCCAGGCTGCCTGACAAGCTCCAGGGACCTTTCTGCTTCCATCTCTCCTACTCTAAGATTATAAGTGCACATCCCTTATTGTGAATGTAGATTCTGTTGATTGAACTCGTACTCACACAGCAGGCACTTAACTGAGCCAGCCCCTCACCCCTATCTATCATCCACTAATCACTAACTGGTACCCAGTCCTCTCCTCTAAGTGAGTAGAACTGAAACTCCTCTTGGGGAAAGGAACATTTAGTAGGTGATGGCCTAAAAGCCAGCATTCCCATGCTTGGTAGGAGCAAGGGTGTGGGGTGAGAAGCTGCTCTTAATTCCCCTATGATGAAATCTCCCAGCATTGGAGCAGCTGAAGTGGAGCATCATGAGTTCAAGGCCAGCCTGGGCCACATACTTAGTCTGTGTTAAAAAAAGAGAAGACTCATGAACTTTGAGGAAGAAGTTGCATAAAGCTTTGGGCACCTGCACTTGAATTTGCTTTTCTAGGGCTGATTTTTTTATGTTTATGGTTGTTTTGTCTGCATATATGTCTTTATTTGCTAAATAATTTTTTTAGGCTATGTGGTGGTGGCACACGACTTTAATCCTAGCACTCAGGAGGCAGAAGCAGGCAGATCTCTGTGAGTTCAAAGCCAGCCTGGTCTACATAGGTTATCACTATAGCCCAGGCTAGCCTCAAATTTGAGATTCTTCAGCCTCAGCCTCCCAAATACTGAGATTATAGATGAATGTCACCACGCTTAGAATTTTTTTATTTCTTTCTTCAAGATAGGGTTTCTTTGTGTAGCCTTGGCTGTCCTGAAACTAGCCCAATAAACCAGGCTGGCCTCGAACTCACTGAGATCCTCCTGCCTCAGCCTCCCAAGCTCTAGATTGAAGGTGTGCACCACCACTGCCTGGCAACACTGAAGTTCATTGCCTCCTATCAATAAATTTTAGAATCTGCCAGATGTTTTATCCTTGCAACTTTTACAACAATGTTGTTTTAGATTTCTATCACAGCAGTCATAAATGGGAATGTGTTTTGAGACTACCAGTTTTTCAAACAGTGTGGTAGTACTTGGGAGACACAGGCAGGTGGATCTCTGAGGCCAGACTGATATACAGAGCCAGTTCCAGGACAGCCAGGGCTACACAGAGAAACTTGAATCTCCCAAAAATAAATAAGAGTGCCAGTTCTTCCATGGTCTAGCTGGTGAAAATCCAGATTCATAGTCATTTTCCACAGAATGTAGGTGTCAAGATATGTCCTAGTTTAGTGTGTAATGATGACAGCTCGGCTCAGAAGTTATACTATGTGATTGGGACCTTCCTGCATGCCTCCCTTATGTGGACAATGTGACAGATATCCCTAGGGCCTTTGCCCCTGTTGTGGTATCCTGTCCATGGCCTCTCTTAGGTCCCTGCTCTCCTGCCAGAGAGCCTCTCTAGGGCTGCTGCTGATCCTGAGCTGGTCTCAGGGCCTTTGCATACATCCATTCCAATATATTACTCATTTGTGTGGGTTGTGCTGGTAATCAAACCCAGGGTGTGTATGCTAGACAAATGCTCTAACTGAACTATATCCTCAGGTTTAGCCCTTTTTTGAGACAGGGCTTTTGTGTTGCCCAGACTGGCCCCAACTCCTAGGCCTGAGCAATTTTGCTTCAGTTATCCAAATAGTGTGGACCACAGGCATGGTAACTGTTCCTAGCCTCAGTGTTTTAGATTGGATTTTTTTTTTGAGTCTGGGTCCTGCCCATTTTGTCCAAGTTGGCCTGAAGCTGGAGATCCTCCTACCTCAGCCCCCAAACACTGGGGTTACAGGCATGCCGAGATGCATATTGAGTTCCAGACCAGCGTGAGCTTATTTGAAATGTAGAGAGCCAGGCGGTGGTGGCACACACCTTTAATCCCAGCACTCAGGAGGCAGAGGCAGATGGATCTCGAGTTTGAGGTCAGCCTGGTCTACAGAGCGAGATCCAGGACAGCTAGGGTTGTTACACAGAGAAACCCTGTCTCGAAAACACAAAATAAATAAGTGAATAAATAAATATTTTAGGCTATCACTAGCCGTGAGGGTGTCTGCCTTTAATTCTAGCACTCTGGAGGCAGAGGCACGCCGGTATCTGTGAGTTCAGGGCCAGCCTGGTTTACAAAGAGTCCTAGGCCAGGACATAGTGGGAGCCTGTTTCAAAACAATTTGAAAAAAAAAAGTTGTATAGCAGAGGGCGGAAACTCCGTAAGAACTGGTCAGACTCCCTGTAATCTGAGTGCCACAGGTGACTCGAGTCCCGCACATGCGCCCCACGACCTTGGACACCGAGCGGTTGCTGCGTCTAACCGCCCGCTGGTCCTTGCGCAAAGCTTTGGGGGCGGGGCCAGGGCGCGCTTCAGCACGTGCGCGGGGCGGGGCGTGCGCAGGGGCGGGGCGCGCGCAGAGGGCGGGAGCGCCGCGGCGGGAGAAGACGAAATGGAGCGCCAGGGAGTACGTGAGGCGCTGTTTTCCCTTCTGCGGGCGGCAGGCGGGGCAGAGGGCGGGCGGGATCCGGGACTTACCCCACAGACCTGTCCCGGGGCTGTTCCTCACCTTTGGGGCCGCCTCCTGCCAGGCGGGGCGAGACGTACTGACAGGGAACCGCTGGGGCCTGACGGACAAGGCTGTGAGGGGTGCGGTGCTCCCCAGGAGCCGGGCGAAGGCCACTCACCGCGTAGACCAGGCCGGCCTCGAACTCAGGCGGCCGCTCGCCTCAGCCTCCCGAGGGCTGGGGAGGGGATAGAGGCGTGCGCCCGGAGGTCCCAGCTAGCGTCCCTTCCGAGGGTGCCACACACTCAGGTGGACGCGCCCCCCACGCCGCCCTCAAGAGCTGGCTGTGCTCGCAGGTGGACGTGCCTCCCGTGGAGTTAAAGGACCAGGGACCCCAGGCGACTGTGGAGAGCAGGGAGCACCATCAGAACGAGAACCACGAGGGAGAGGCTAGCGCAGCGGCGGCCAGGTGAGGGGGACGGGTCCAGCGGCTCTCCCGACTCCGGGCCCGTTTCTGTTCACGCGGTTCCTTCCACAAGGTCTGCGTGCCCAGAACGGCCCTGGGAGCTAGGAACGTTGTCATCCTTTCCATAGCCACGGGGTTTAGTTTCAGGATTCCCCCTCTCCCGAAGCCACATCTACAGATGCTCAAGTCCCTGTCTGACACTGCATAACATCCTCGTGTTCAGACTCGTCTTCTCTTGTACCGTTTGTTTTTTAAACATTTTGTGTGTGTGTGTGAAAGGGGTGGACATGTGGAAGTCAGAACCTATTGGACCATGTGGTTCTGGGATAGAACTCTGGTCTTCAGGCTTAGCAGCAAAATGCCTGTTTCCTGAACCATGTCATGGGTGGGCCTGCTTGTGTAGACTTCAATTTGTTTATGATTTATTTTATGTGTGTGAATGTTTTACCTGAATGTGTGTATGTACACTGTGTGCAAGCCTAGTGCTTATGCAGGTCAGAAGAGGCTATCAGGTCCTCTGGAACTGAAGTTATGGATGGTTGTAAACCACCGTGTGGGTGCTGTTAATGAAGGTCCTCTGCAAGAGCAACATATGCTCTTAACTACTGAGCCACCTCTCCAGCTCCCTCTCTCAAAGCAGAGTCTCATTATGTAGGCTGGACTGGCCTGGAACTCAATATATAGACCAGGTTGTCCTTGGACTCAAAGAGATCCACCTGCCTCTGCCTCCCAAATGTTGGGATTAAAGGCGTGCACCACCACACACTGGTTATGCACACTATTCTCAATAACAATTTAAATAAATATTTTTTTTCAAAATGCAAGCAAGTGCCACATCCCCAGCACCTGTTCTAAATTTGACTTGTGATTTGTTTTCTTTTTTTTTAATTTATTTATTTATTTATTATGTAGACAGAAGAGGGCGCCAGATCTCATTACAGATGGTTGTGAGCCACCATGTGGTTGCTGGGAATTGAACTCAGGACCTCTGGAAGAGCAGTCAGTGCTCTTAACCTCTGAGCCATCTCTCCAGCCCTTGACTTGTGATAGAGCCCACTAGGTAGCAGTCCAGATGCTACATGCTATAAGGAAAAAATATGAGGACACAATAATGGTGACTGATTTACCTTCAAGGTCATAGCAGAGTTCCTGGAGATGAAGAATAAATCATTAGAAGGAAGACCCTGCTCCAGGCAGAGGAACTGCTGGTGTACAGGCTGTAGAGATTATTGAACAGTGAAGGTTAAGAGGGAGATAGTAAGAGACACAATTAGACCTCTCCTCTCCCTTTTTGCTTTCCTTCAGTGGGGTCTTACATATCCCAGACTGGCCTCAAACTGGCCATGTAGCTGGGATGACCTTGAATTGAATTTCTGATCCTCCTGTCCTCCATCTCCCAACTACTAGGATTATAGCTTGTACTGCCACACCTGGTTTATACAGTGCTTGGGGTTGAACTCTGGGCTTTGTGCATGCTAAGCAAGCACTCTACCGACTGAGCGCCATCCCTGACTTTACAGTCAGACTTTAGATGCCTCTCAGAGGTTTAAGAATGGGAGGACTGACACCATTTGGCTACTTTATATTAAAAAGTTTTGGGGAGGCAAAGGCTGATGGTCTCTCTGAGTTCCAAGCTAGTCAGGGCTACATTATGAGACTCAAAAGAATTTTTTTTTTTTTTTTTTTTTGGTTTTTCGAGACAGGGTTTC